TTTTTTCTGGGGTGTTTGGTGAAGAAAATCAAGAACTGATTATGATTTCTTCAAATATTTATAGTAGAATTGGCTTTGGTTGAAAAAAAAATAAAAAATAAAAAATAAAAAATTTGAAGGGAGTTTGAGTTTTGTGCTATCTGTTTTCATGTGAAGGGGCTTTATTATATTACCTGATTTTGTTTGTGTATTTTGGTTTTGAGTGTCATATAGAGCTGATTCTTAATTGATGAGTGAAGTGGGAAGTTAGTTGATAAAAGTCACTTTAATGCCTTGAATTTAGTTGAATTATTCAGAGGATAAAAGTGCAGGTTGGAGGTGAGACAGAGGTACTGAAGGAAGCTAATACATTATTTAATTGTTTCACTTGTCTGTTTTATTGCAAAAAAATAAAAATAAAATAAAATTTGGGAACACAATAAATTGTGGGATTTTTTTTTTTTGATATTTTATTTTTTTGAATATTTTTGTAGATATTGGTATTCTTTTTGCTGGTCCAGCCTTTCTGAATCTGCATAATGAAACTCTCAGCTACCTTAAATCAGCAGTCTCCTAAAGGTATTATTTTGCCTTTTTTTTTTTTTAAATTTATTTTCCTTTCTATAGTGCTTACCATGCATCTTCATGTGTGCTTTGGCTTTTCAAGTTAAATTCTTCACTAAATCACTACAATTTTAATCAATTTTTTTTTTTTTTTTTGGAAATTTCACCTTCTTTTCGAAGATTATTCTATCTTTGTTTTCTTCATTTTAAAGTAGTCTTTATGAAAAGGCAAGTCTTGTTTTTGTTCCTCTCTCTCCCTTCTTTCTATGCATCATTCATAGTAGTTTGGAGAACCATCTATAGAATACAAAAACAAGAAAACAAGAAAAGAGAAGCCGATTTCGAGTCTTTACGTGCGTGTTTTTTTTACGAGCTGATATGGAATTTGATTTGCAGAAGATAAGAACTTCGTAAATTCGTCCTAGGATACAAAAGAAAAACAAGAAAACAGAAAAAATAAGCCGATTTTCATGTCCTTACATGTGTTTGTTTTTAGTTTATGAGCTGATAAATCTTGTGGAATTTGATTTGCAGAAGATAATAACTGCCTAAATTCAGAACTTTGGCATGCCTGTGCTGGTCCTCTTGTTTCTCTGCCTTCTATTGGCACTCATGTGGTGTATTTTCCTCAGGGTCACAGTGAACAGGTTATTTTTAATTTTACTGCCTCAAAAATTGAAAAAAAAAAAAGTGATTTTCAGCTTCTAGCTAGGAACCAAAAATCAAGTTTCCTTTCTAAAAATCTAAAGATTTTTTTCTTTTTTTGTTTGGTACTATCAAAGGTTTCTGTATCGACGAACAAGGAAGTCGATGCTCAAATACCGAATTACCCGAGCTTACCCCCACAGCTCATTTGCCAGCTTCATAATGTGACCATGCATGTAAATTAGCATTCTTGTAAAAATTTTCCCTTTTTCCTACTTTTTCTTGCAGCCTTGTTAAGAAAACTAATTGTGTACTTTTTGTCCTAAAACTAGGCTGACATAGAAACAGATGAGGTTTATGCTCAAATGACCTTGCAACCATTGAGCCCAGTATGTTTTTCTTATCTTTATCTATGTTGTTGTTGTTGTTGTTGTTGTTGTTGTTGTTGTTTCTTTTCGTTCGTTTTTTAATGTAATTTAATTTAATTCTTGCAGCAAGAGCAAAACGAGGTCTCTTTCCACCCAGCGGATTTAGGTGTCGCTAGCAAACAGCCTACGAATTACTTCTGCAAAACATTGACGGCAAGTGACACGAGCACACATGGCGGATTTTCAGTCCCACGCCGTTCGGCCGAAAAAGTTTTTCCTCCATTGGTACCAAAAAAAAGAATTAAAAAAATAATTCCTTAGCTTTTGTGAATTAAGATTTTTTAAAATGTATGGTTATAATGTAACCATTTTTTTGTTATAAATCTACAGGATTTCTCCCAGCAGCCTCCAGCACAGGAGTTGATTGCTCGGGATCTCCACAACAACGAGTGGAAATTCAGACATATATTTCGGGGTGAGTTTTTTTGTACAAATAAGCCGTATGTATAGAGGAAAAGAAAATGCAGAAGATTTTGAAATATTGATATTGTTTTTGAAGCTGTGAAGATCTTTTGAAGTTGTTAAGTATTATTGGTAGTATGGGAAATATTACATATTTGTTTTATGGACTTTGCTTTTTGTGCATATATTTATTTAGAACTGTTAATAGATTATTAACTATTTCTATTTCAATTTTCATCTTCCTTTTTTAGGTCAGCCAAAGAGACATCTTCTCACAACAGGGTGGAGTGTTTTCGTGAGTTCGAAGAGACTCGTAGCTGGTGACTCGGTCCTTTTCATATGGTGCGGGCTAATTAAATTTCAATATTATCTGATATATGTCATATGATGATTCGTCTTTGAACAAAGTAGTTCATTTTTCAAGATCATTGCTTTTTTTTTTTTTAAATTCTTTTTTCTTTTGAATTAATCAGGAATGAGAAGAACCAATTGCTTCTCGGTATACGGCGTGCAAACAGGCCACAAACCGTTATGCCCTCGTCTGTTTTATCGAGCGATAGTATGCATTTGGGCCTGCTTGCTGCTGCTGCTCATGCGGCCTCGACAAGTAGCCGTTTCACAATATTTTATAATCCGAGGTTTAATTACTTAATGATTCTTTCTCTATAAAATAATCAAATGCCTTGATTAGTTTTCACAATATTTTAACCTCTTTTCTTTATTATTATTATTCTTATACATTTCAGGGCAAGTCCTTCTGAATTTGTCATACCTCTTGCCAAATACGTGAAAGCAGTGTATCACACTCGAGTTTCTGTCGGCATGCGTTTCAGGATGATGTTCGAGACGGAAGATTCTAGTGTTCGTCGGTAAGTGTTTTTTGATTTCTTAATATTCAAATTCGGAGTTTCGAATTTGTTATCTGCCTATTTCATTAATGTGTTCTGAAATATAATTGGTTTCATTTTCAGCTACATGGGCACGATAACTGGCGTAAGTGATTTGGATTCTACGAGGTGGCCGAACTCACATTGGCGCTCGGTTAAGGTAAACATCTTTGCAGCTTTTTGATTTTTTTGTTTTTTGTCTTTTTTTTTTTTGGTTTTGTTTTGATTTTCTCAAGTTATGTATATAAAAAACCGAATGTGTTTGGATGAAGGTTGGGTGGGATGAGTCTACAGCTGGTGAGAAGCAGCCGAGAGTTTCTCTTTGGGAAGTCGAGCCTTTGACAACTTTCCCGATGTATCCATCGACTTTTGCTCTGCGACTCAAACGTCCGTGGCCACCTGGCCTTACCTCCTTCCCCGGTACAAGTCTCTATTATTGATGAGATTCTTAGGCTATTTTTGGTAAATCTATCTGATAAGTTAGCTTGCTTATAGCTTTTAAAAGAATTTTGAGCTTATAGCTGAAAAGCTAACTAGCTTATATGATAAAAGCGTTTGATAAAATTAATGGATAAAGTACCTAAAATACAAATTTCAATGAGCTTATTTGAAAAGCTACCCGATATACTCGACTTTTTAAAAAAACTCGTCTTACCAAATCAAACTTATTTGAATATAGGAAACTTATAAGCTAATCAAATAATCTATAAACTAGCTTGTGACAAACAATAATTCGTACTTATCTTTTATTTTATTTTATTTTATTTTTCCATTGCTTCCTAGGGATGAAAGCCGAAGACCTGGCAATGAACCCCCCTTTCATGTTCTTCCGTGGGAATGCCCGGGACCTCGGGACCCAATCTCCCAACTACCAAGGAGTGGGGCCTACCTCTCCTTGGATGCAATTGCAGTCTAGGTTCGAACCATCGATTCTCGCCATGCAGAATGATACTACTGCTTTTCAGGAAATGAGATGGGCCGACCCATCCAAACAGTCCCAGCTGCTTTTCAGCAACCGGCCTGTGGGCCTGACACAGGCCCAGATACCACAGCAACAACAACAGCCTCAAAACCTCATGCACAACACTCTTTTTCAGCAGCAAATGCTTCATCAGAATTCGTTCGACAATAATGACAGCACGCAAATGCAACACGGTCTTGATCATGAACGGGCCTCATCGGGTGGCCCCGTATTCTCCCAAGCCCAGACAAGCATGCACATTAGTTCTCCTCTGCACGGGTTATTTGGGCCGGCCCGCCAAGAAGATGGTGCTTGGCCCGCTAAGCGTGTGGCACTCGACCCACTTCCTTTTACGGATTCAATTTCGAATTCGGTCCAGGTCGAGCAGTTGGGCTTACTGAGCTCGAGTGTGGCCCACAATTCCGTGTCTCTGCCTCCATTTCCCGGCAGTAATGACCCACATAATCAATTTGTTTTTGGATTGTCGGGCCTTAAAGGAGTTGGAGAAAGTGAGACTGCGAATATGGGTTTTGCCTCATCGAGCTCGGTTGCCGATTACTCATTTAATCCTACTGTTAACACAAACAATTGTGTAGAGGATTCGGTTTTTGTGCCTTCTTCTGATAATGGGGAGCTTGCTAATCCAATCAATAGAGCATTTGTGAAGGTATTTTTGTACACAAACAATAGTAATGAAAAACAAAGCTCAAAACTATGTTAAAAAATACTATCGTATACCTTTCATGTTACATTTGATCTAAATAATTACCTTTTTTTACAGGTTTATAAGTCGGGATCGTTTGGAAGGTCACTCGATATAACAAAGTTCAGCAGCTACAATGAGCTGCGTATGGAACTCGCTCGGATGTTTGGGCTCCAGGCCCAATTGGAAGATTCTTTAAGATCAGGCTGGCAGCTTGTGTTTGTAGACCGTGAAAATGACGTGCTCCTTCTCGGTGACGATCCGTGGCCGTAAGTTTTAACCGTTTTTATCTCATAGTTATAATGAAGCAAAAGCAATGGCAAATTACATCATTTTTTTTTTCCGACTTTTTACTGCTGCCACATTAACTAATAAAATCACTTCAAAAGCCAAAGTTTCGGCAGAACATCGATTTACTTTTTCTTCATTTTGTATGATTTTCTTGAACCTAAATGCTTGTATGCTATATATACATGTTTAACCTTTTGTTTGTCAATAATCATTCAGGGAATTTGTAAACAGTGTGTATTGTATCAAGATACTTTCACCAGAAGAGGTTCAAGAAATGCGAAAAAGGGGGCTTGAGCTTCTTAACAATGTTCCTCTTCCCCAAAATGTCGTGTGTGAGGGCTACCCGAGCCGCCAAGAACCGCCGAGGAATATGAATGCCGGCATAGCTTCTGTAGGGACTCTTAATTTCTGAACAATTTTAATTTCTTCCAAGTTTTATGTTTGTAATATTAGGATCCTTGTGTTTCAAGTTATAGTAGGCAAGAAAATTTCTGTTTCTAAATTGTCATTTATACATGTGTAGGCAAAGCTAATGTATTTTGTTTGATGTAACTATGGTCTGTACCTTTAGGATCAGGAGTACCTGCTGTGCTCACTTAAACAGCACCTGCTGTGAGTGTGCTCCCCACCCTTGGATGATGTTAAAGTTAACGTTAATAATGTTAACTTAACATCATCCAAGGGTAGGGAGCACACACATAGCAGGTGCTGTGTTCATTTACACACCAGGTACCCCCAAGTCGTACCTTTAATGCAAGATTACTAATACTACTATTTGCGAGGCAGATGTGTAGTTTCTGTTGCAGCAATATTTACAGTCGGAGCAATTTTATTCACTGTATTATTTTTGCAATATCCCTCCCTATATATTAATTCAAAACATGTTGAGCCTAGGTGGCAGATTCTCACGCTTCGGATGTTGACATGGCGAAAATTTGTGCTTCGTGATGTTATTTTTATATGATTTTTGCTCTGGAGTTGGGTTTGGTATTAGACATAAATAACTTTACACATATATAACTCAACACCAATGTTGTACATGAGTATTAATACTAGTTGGCTTTCAACATAAATTATTAATGCCGGCATAGCTTCTGTAGGGACTCTTAATTTCTGAACAATTTTTCTTCCAAGAAATATTGTGTTTCTAAATCTATATCTATATTAAAGCAAAGCAACTACCAAATTCCCGTTCAAAATTTGCATTATAAGTTTGCGCATTATTTGATAACTAATCTCTTCTTAAATTTTGCTTTAAATTCCTACTTAGTATTAAATTTGAGAATAATGAATACATACAAAATTTTAGTCTTTGTTTCATGCAAGTTAGAGAGCGTCCACGCCAACTCCTAATTTTTCTCCATCTTTTGTTTTCTTAATGTTACAATGTACACTTTTACTTCAAATATGAAATTACTCTTTTAAAACAAATTAGTACAACACTCGTGTACTACACAGGTGATTGGTGATTAGTAAAAAACTATGTATTCAAAAAAGGTAGAACAACAATTTACATAACAATTAAAAAAAATTAAAATATACAAATAAATAATAAAATACAAACGACTTTGTAATATTATTTTAATTTTAGAAAAACTTCTCAGTATACAACGTTATCAGTTCCTCATTATTAGTTCTAGTTACATACTCCATGACTATGTTAGGAAATGAAATTGAATCTCTGAATTGCATCATTATCTTCAATGAGTTAACTAACAAACATCATATTTTCATTTTTCTTTAAAGGGCTTTCTCTTGTTCTTGTTATAATTAATCACTCTTTTGGGTAGTCGCCATTAGGACTGTTATCGAACCGAACCGAACCGAGCTTAAGGTATTCGAGCTCGAGTCGACTAATCTTCGAACATGTTCGTGTTCGTTCGTTTGGTGAATGAATAAAAAATTTCGTTCGTGTTCGTTCGTTTATTGGTTCGACACATTCGTGTTCGTTCGTTTATCTAATCGAACTTGTTCGTGAACTGTTTGAACTAGTGTGATACCCGTGCGATGCACGGGGTATACTGTAAATTAATATTTTTATTAAAATAAATATTGTTAATCTATTTAAGACAACATGGTAATTATATACGACTCAATATATCAAGCCAGTAATTTTATAAATTTTGTTTGAATATCTTTTTTAGCTTATTTTTACAGGTTTTGCCTATTTAATTATAAATCTTATTATTTATAAGTTTATAAAATAGTATCAATATCTAGATTTTAACTATGATGTTTGTATATAGATTGCTTACATATACTTGTAAAATTAGTGATTATCTTGATCTTATAACTTTTTCAACAAATCATATTTTGCATATTGCTCGATGGCTAACTAATGTTTTAACCCGTAAAATTTAATTTCCTTTATGATAATTTTAGATGCACGAAATATTAATTTTTTCATAATTAAATTTAAATTGTAGCAACTTTAATCGCTTATGCAATAAATTTTATAAATAGTAAACTATTTATTTTTGTTTTTAAATTTTTTGTTTATATATATATATAATGAATTTATTCAACATATATAATGAATGTATTAATATTCAATTTAAATGTTTAGATAAAATATATATTTCAATTATTATCAAATTTTACAGTTTTAATTATGATATTTGACTATATCATCCAATATACTCATTTTTCTTTATTAAATACTATATGATAAGTAATATACTTTTTTACAATTTAATCGTTTTATTATGTAGATAGATATTTCTAATGTAAAACTTATAATTTTTAATTTCACTCGACTATCAAATAATAATTTTATTAATATATTAAATTTAGTTTTCAATAGAATATCAAATAAAATAATATATTTAATGGAGATATAATTTATAATGGTTATGTTGACTATATTTTAGCAAATTTCTTTTATTATTGTAAATTATTCATTAAGTTAATATGATTCAAACAAAATTATTCTGATTATTTGTTAGATATTTTAAGTGCTTCTGAACTGTTAACATAATTAATAAAATTAATATCTACAACAATGAGAAGATAATATAATTAATCAAATAAATAGTTCATAATTTGAATCTATACTTATATTAAAAGCCATACTATTTACCAAATATAGTAGCAAAAAATAAGTCAACTCACATTTAATGCATACTTTATTTAGAATTTTTTTACTATATGCATTAATTGCTTGCATATATACATTTCCTAATCAAATATGATAAAAAAGATTCTTTCCTTAAATAATTTTATTAACTTCTGCAATAATTTTACTGATATATATTATAATTCATATTTGTCGATAGTATTTTTTAATTTTTATTTGAGTATATAAAAAACAAATATTTTTTAAAATTAATATTTTATTTATCATTTAAGAGATAATGATCACATCAATAAATGATATTACTGATGGCTAGATAATAAATTAAAATACATTAATTATTCTTTAAAATTTTGGCATGTTATTTATTTGTATCTATACTTATTATATAAAGTATCATATTTACCAAATTTGGTAGATTGAAAAGGCAACGTAATTAATGCATTGCTATTTCTATCCAGAATTTTATTTAGTTATTTTATTTATTTGTCTTATATCCCATAAAATCAGTTTAAGAAAAAAAAAATCTCATAACATCTGACAAGTAAAAAAAAAAGACGTAAAATCTTTATTAAAATAAAAAAGACTTTATTTATTTGTCTTATTCCATATTAACATCGATTTTTTCAAAATAAATCCCATAAAATCAGTGAAGTCAAAATTTTACGTAAAGTCTATCTACCCAAAAAAAAAGTCAATTCAAAATTCCTTATCATTCCTTCTTGTTCTTATCTAATTCATTTTTTTCCTTATCTAATTTCTTTTTATTATCTAATTGTATGAAAATCTGTTCTGATTTTGTTCAATCCTTTAAGTGTATTTGTATTATATTCCATAAAATCTGTTTAACAAAAAAAATCCCATAACATCCGATAAGAAAAAAAACAAAGTACGTAAAATCTTTACTAAAATAAAAAGGTTTTATTTATTATCTAATTTATTATCTAATTGTATGGAAATCTGTTCTGATTTTATGGTACGTACTACAAATTGTGCACCCGTGTTCAGGAGCTACGTAACGGGTAAGCTCTGTGGAAATGACTCATTTAGTGCTTCTGTCCCGTGCCTACGGTATGTATTTTTATTACACATGCTAGAAAATTGTGCACCCCGTGCATCGCACGAGCTCTGTACTAATAAATGACCTTAAAATTATACATCTCGTGCATCACCCGAGTTCACATTTTGGCCTATTACAGGTCACGTACTATATATATCCCGTACATTTTTTTTATTCATTTATATCATTATAAGAATGGATAAATGACCTTAAAATTGTGCACCCCGTGCATCGCACGAACTCTGTACTAGTGGTTTTTTAAATTTTGTCAAAAAATTACTACGAAATTAATATTAGGATCATATTGAAAATATGTGTAATCAATCAATTATCTATTTAAGTCAATTTATAACTAATGAATATTAGTCAATGAATAAACAAAAAATAATTAATGTTCATATGTAAAATTGCTAATAGATAGGCTAATTATATGCTAAACATAGATGAAAATATTTTCCCGCCTAAAACAATATCAATTATAGTAATAAAGGATTGGTCCATTATATAGATATAGATATAGATTGTTCGAATGGTTCGACAAATCCGTGTTCGAATTGTTCGACATGTTCATATTCGTGTTTTTTAACTTTTTTCATTTTTTTTTATTTTAATGTCATACAAGTTATTTTGTTTA